TAAACTCCCTAAACCCCTAAAGCCCTAAACCCTAAACCCCAGCCCATAAACCCTGTTTGGGAGTCAGCCACAGAGCAGGCAGGGAAAAAAAAGAAAATCTGCCTACTGTGGGAGGTTTAGGGTTTAGGGTTTAGGGTTTAGGGTTCAGGGTTTAGGGGCTGAGGGTTTAGGGTTTAGGGTTTAGGGTAAGGGTTTAGGACTGAGGGTTAGGGGTTTAGGGCTTAGAGTTTAGGGTTCAGGGCGTCCGAGTCCCCTGGCAGGCCCTCAGTCATCTCGCGTGGGCTTACACGACACTCCGCTGTGACTCATCTCTGCAATGGCGGTGGTTTTCTCTAAATTAGGGTTTAGGGTTCAGTATTTGGGGTTTAGGGTTTAGGGTTTAGTATTAGGGCTTTAGGGTTTAGGGTTTAGTATTAGGGTTTAGGGTGCATGAAAGGGGTCTAAATGGGCTTGTATAAGGGTACTACAAGGGTTTCATGTGGGTAGTTTTCTAAATTAGGGTCCCTTCTTAGGTCCCGAACATAGTACAGCACCCTTATAGAAAGGTTCCTAGACGGGACCCTGATCTAGAGAACTACCCATGTAGTGATGTCTTTTGTGGGGTGCATGGCTTGGGTATAGAATGGAGGGTCTAGGGATGCAGATTTAGGCTTAGAATGTAAGGTTCAGGGCTTGCTCTAGGAGTTTGTTTGGAGGGTCCGGGGACTGAGTAAGTAGTTAGTTTGTTGAGCTATAAGCCTCACAAACCCAATTAGGATCCCTTTTGGGTTACCTACTTACGAAGTCCCCGGACACTCCAGGTAGAGTGGGCCAGGACCTCCCATGAAGCCTCTAGGTTTAGGGTTTAGGGTTTGGGGTTTAGGGTTTAGGTACTTGGAGGGTCCGGGGACATAGTAAGTAGGGTCTATGTACTCCCAATGTATGTATGTATGTATGTATGTATGTATGTATGTATGTATGTATGTATGTATGTATGTATATATGGTATGTGTGTCTAAATGCATATACACATGTATGTGTACATATATATATATATATACATACATACGAAGCTGTGTGTGTGTATATATATATATATATGCATATGATGCTGCAGATGGAGCGGCAGCTGCGAAAAGGCCTGCATTTCAAGTAAGCACTCCTTGATGTTTGATTGTGGCGGCGACGGCGTGGTTTTGATCAATCTGTGCGGCTGTTTCCCCCAACCGAGGGAGGATCACAGGGTCCAAGGATTCGATGCTTAGGGTTTAGGGTTTAGGGTTTAGGGTTTAGGGTTTAGGGTTTAGGGTTTAGGACTTGAGCTCATGTGGAGCACGGTTGTTGCCCCTCTTCGATTCCATCGTGCAGGTGCCGCTCGAGCAATAAGCAGCAGCTGGAAAGTGGGGAATGACATACGTACGTGCATAGATAGGCAGAATCATAGGTGGGTAGTACACGCAGACCTCTTTCCCTTTCTATCTATGCATGTATATGCCTACAGTCATATATGTATAGCAATAAAACATATGTACACACACATATATATATATATATGTTTACATATTGACATAGATACACATGCCCACACACATGCATGCATGCATGCATACATACATGCCAAGGGGCTTTATTGAAAGGCCCTTGGGGTCCCGGGGTCTGGGGAACCTTGACCCTCAGCCTTAAAGCACCTACTCCGAACCTTTCACCACCCTAAACCCTAAAGCTGCATTCCCTAAACCCTAAACCCTAAGCCTTAAACCCCTAAGCCCTAAACCTTAAACCCCTAAACCCTAAACCCCAAACCTGAGCCCGACACCGACGCAGTGAATCCTCAGTCCAAGATGAAATCGTTTTGCCCCGAGCCCTTAGACCTTTAGCAAGACTAGTGGGTTTAGGGTTTAGGGTTTAGGGTTTAGGGTATCAATTGGATACTGCCCCCACTCAGTAACAGTTGGATAATATTCATAATAGAGATATATAAGGCCCTTAATAGTAGCCCTATTATC